ATCCTTACCTGGTTTGGTGGTGGCACTTCCCACACGCTCAGGCCACGGTACGTTGTGCTGATGGGCTCCACCTCAACCGTCGCGTGGCTCTCCATGTCATCATGATCCAGCACCCCATTCAGGTCCTGCACCGCCCTGGCAAGAGCATTGAGACCAGCACAAAGCTCGTTGGGCAATGCAGCTTCTGTTTGGTCCAGCAACCCCGTGCAGGTGAAAGGCAGTGCTTGGCCATGCACGCAACCCCATGCATTGTGGTCAACGAGCACACCTGAGCACCAGGCGGTTTTGCTGCTTGTGGGCCTGTGTACCTGTGTGCTCTGATGATGTGGAGCTTGGGGTGATTGCCAAGTATTGTGAGGCCATGTTTAGGCTGGCAGAAACCTGGCATTGTCTGACGATTTAACTTCAGCAGAGACATGTGACATGGACACTTTGTTGCATTCTCACATTCCACTTAAGGATATCTACATTCACATGTTCATATCTATATCAACATATGTATTCATATGTCTGTACTATTTATTCATACCTGACCACTGCATCAGCCACAGGTCCTGAATAGAATCCTCCACGCGCTCCTTGCTTTGCAATCTTTCGAAAAGTCGCCGCCAGGTCTGCATTCACCATCACCTGCAGGTGCAGGCAAACAAGATATCTTTGAGAAAGTCGTTGGTAAATTGACAAATTGAAAAATGGTACACATGCCTTTCCTCAGTCATTTAACAAATCGACAATTTGAACAATATCATTGCTATGCTTTGAAGTCATTTTGCTGGGGCTGACAGCCCCTGGCAGGATTTCTGAAGTGCAGGGAAAGGGCACAGGCAGTGCAATGAATGCTGAGCTGATTCCTGCATTCCGGCAGGCAGCGTGAACAGAGCAGTGGGACAACGCTCCCATGTTGCACCACTGGCTGTCCAGATGTGCAGTCACAGTACAGCAGTACAGCATTACAACAGTGCAGCAGTGTGACAGTACAGTAGCTGGATGCTGGCAAAGCCCAGCTTGCGCGTGAGGGCAGCAAATCGTCGTGTTCTGCCATTTGTCACCAGTTTAAATTTACTCAACGATGATCAAGCATATAGCAAATGCTGCCTGCCGGGGCAGTTGTTCTCATGCTCATCCAGCATCATGTGCAGCACATTGCTTACTTTGCCCTTTTCAAGAGACTTGCAGAAACGTCAAGTGCAAACAAGATGGCAAAAATCACAATGGCACAAAAAAACTCGCATTGCTTGGCTAGTGAAGGGCAGTGCTCTTCAACTCCAAACATGCCAATCGACAAAGCTGTTTGGTGCTGTGCACAGAACAGACACCTGTTTTCGAGATGTCCCACAGCCAACTGCCTGTCTCATTCAGGCAAGCAGAATTGATGAAAACCCAATGGTTTTGCACAGCACCTATATTGGCTCTGGAGGCCTCCTGCTGCCATTTGTTTGCATTCTGGTTGCTAAATTAGGAATGATACTCCACCGGTAAAAGTTAACTGATGTGTACATCAAGTCTCCTGGCTCAGGAGGGTTTCCACTGCCACTTGTTTGCAGTTTCTTTCCTCACCAATGCACCGAAAAAGGATAAAAGCAACCCTGCTGTCTTGCATCCCACCTCCCCTGGCTCTGGAGGCTTTCCGCTGCTGTTCAGCAGTGCACCCTTCCCTGGCCCTTGCAGCTGAACTGCGCATTCTTTCCAGTGGGTAGCCGTGAGTGGGGCGACAGGGAACCCCTGCTCTGCCAATTCGATCGCCGGTTCCAGAACCTTCAGAGCCACAGGCCAGATAGATAGCATCAGCACTGTGGACCTGCGAAGGCCTTGCAGAGTGGAAGAAGCAATCGCCTAGGCATCCTTGTACGTGTGAACAGACATGTATGTGTACACGTGCGCATGTTTTCAGTGCATGCGTACTTGTAACGGTAGACTTGTACTTGTACCAGTGTAAGGCAAGGATGCTTGTTGTAAACAATGCAAAAAAGCAAAGAAACACAACATTAATGCCAAAAGAAAAGGCACAAGGGTCCCACATGGGGATTGTGACAGCTGTGGCCACAGCCACACCTGCTCTAGGCTCTTCCGACCCCATTTTTTGAGCGCGTCCTCCCACAGCATCGGCGCGCCTGGCACCACAACTGTCAGGGCATGGTCCATGGGCATCTGGTCGACGATGCCACGCTCTCGAATGGCATCAAAAGTGAGACCCTTGGGGGACATGCCCCCACCCTTGAGGCATTCCACCCTCTTGTTGACAGCACTGTAGAACAAGGCAAATGCATCACCTCCGATCCCTGGCAGGGCAGAGAAAAAGGGAGGTGGTGTTTGGGAGAGGCAAAACTTCTGAATACAGTGATGGGGCAGTTGTCACCATCCTGTCAGAAAATGCACTGCCAGGTGCAGGGGAGAGATAACCAAAATGTGTGTGTGTACAAAACAGATTCCATGCATGTGCACAGCAGTGAGTTAGTCAGCCCCTGACAGTTCCCCTTTCCACCAACCCATCCCACCGAGTTGTTCACTATTCACAATGTACTGTGTACATCTGCCACACACAAGCCAATAAAGCATGGCATTTTCTTTCCACAAATGCCTTTATCATCCCAGAGGTGCATGGGCAGTGCTATGCCATTTAGCAGCAAAGGGGATAAAGAGATAGAGGGGAGAAGCCTGAGTTGTGACGAACCTCTCAGCAGAGATTTGAGCCCACTTGGCACCTGCAGGCAGCCCAGCTTATTTGCTATCATGTGCAATCTCAATCCTCAGCCCGTCATCGCTAACTTTGGTGGCGATGAGGTTTACTTTACTCTCTGGAACATCACAAGAAAGGGAACAAAGAGTGGTAAGAACAGGTAAGAACAAATTAAGAGTACTAAATACAAGAACAAGACAGCATCAATGACTGGCTTGCCTGTGGAGCAGGGTTCTGTTACACCCAGCGCCGCCGCCATCGCCACTGCGGCATCCGCAGCTGTGCCCCCTTGCTGCAGTATCCTAAGGCCCGCCTCTGAGGCCAGCGGCTGGGAGGAGGCCACCATGCCTCGCCGGGACACAACTGGCGACCGATGGGACGCGAACACCAGGTCCCGCACCTGAAAAGCAGAGTTCATCTGTGCATTTCTGCCTTGGAATGACCCACAGCCCTACGATGCGTTGAGCTGTGATCTTGGGAACTTGACCAGATTCTGTTTTGTAGTTTCTTATATTCTCATCCCAAAGCAGTCGATCACATTTAAGAGTCCAGGTGCCACCCCTTTCACAACAGAAGAGATGTGGGCCTTATGGACTGGACATTGACGGATGCTGCTCTGCACATTGTTGCCTTTCATGACAAGGATGTTGTGGGTCACGTGCTGGAGACTGCAGTGAGCCAATGGGATGTGCATTTCGTTAATCGCTTTCTGGACATCTTGCCATGGGCTCTTGGCCAGTGTGGGCTGGAAGCCAAATTGGCAGAGTTTTGATGGCAACGATCGAGGTAACGATCTTTTGGGTGGGCAGGTAATAATCCATGCTTTGATGCAAGCGTCAAAGTGGCAAACCACTGCCTTTTGGAGTTCTATGTCATGGAGGGCAAGTGAGGGTTTGTGCACAAGGTGCCTGAAACTCTCTCTGCTCTGCTGGGTCCAGATGGGTCTCTCAATGGAATTGGAGAACAATTCAACAGAACGGCTACCAAAATTAGACAGCAATCTGCAAGGAACAGATCATCCAAGAATAGAAAACTCTACTTGAGTTGCAAGGGGATTTGAACATACCCCATGGAATTGGAGACAACAGAAACTGGGATAAGAGGAGCACTAGTCCGCTGGGTGTGGTGTCACCAGGAAGACGGCCTTCCAGAAAGGGATCACTGAAAAAGGATGGGCACACGATTGGTCGCCACTTAAACTCAGACATTTGACTTGGGTGCATGTGGATGGCGAAGCATGCAGGTGGACATCCTGATGTGGCAACCCATGGAAAGATACCCCTGCCAGTGCTTGCTTGCATGGACTGTTGCTGCTCATTATAACACTTGAGGTCCAGGAAGAGATCACTGGAAAAGGATGGGCACAGGACTGGTCGCCATTCAAACTCAGAAAATCGACAGGGGTGCCTGTGGATCGTGGAGCTTGCGTGTCAATACATCCATATGTGGCACGCCAAACCAAAAGGAAAGGAAAAATACCGCCCCACTGCTTTGTGGACAGCTAATGGTCATTAGCACACACGGAGACGTCAACGAGAGGCAGCATCGTGCTCTCTTCCGTACTGATGTTTCCGTGTACGCCGGAGTGGAAAGGGCTCCGCGGCCTTGCGAGCCTCGCCCGCAGTGGGCGCGGGATCCAGCGGCATTCGAAATTCAAAACTGTCCAAAAATTCCAAATGGTCGTTTGCTGATAGGTTTGGGGCGGGGCAGCGCGGCGATGCGGCAGAGAGGGGACCCGCGATCGCACCTTGGACGCCATTTGGGAAGCGCTGGCGCCGCAGACCGCGCGGGGGAGGGACATTGGCCCCGGGCGTTTTGTGGAAGGTGCGAGGTTCGAAGCGGTCAAGCGTCGGGCAGCGGTCGTGGCGGGGGCGCGGGCAAAAGGACGGCCCAAAAATTAAACGACAGACAATTGCCGTTTTGCAAAAAGCGGACTGTTGAAGTATAGCATAATGAATCGCGGTCGATTTCATCTATGCTCTGTTCGTACTTCATTTCTGCTGCGTGGGCTTTCTCCAAGAGTTGATTTGATGGCTGAAGGATTGTCGGTTCGGCCGGTTGTCATTGGCAACGGCGTTGGATGATCTGGCGGAAGAAAAACTGTGGGTTTGGAACGCGACCTTGCGGCACTCGGAGCACGGAACCCAGCACCAACAAGGATCTCCTACAATTGTCGCCATGTCCAACTTTTGTACGCCAAACCACACATCGTACATTCCCATCAGTCGTTTTGCACATTCCAGCTGTCAATGCACTCGTGATTCAACCCGACAGCTGCACTTTCATCACATAATCCAATGTGCCTTTCAAGCATAACAGCTGTCACCACTCTTGATTCAACCGCCTGGCAAATCGCAGGCCCCCGACGCCGAAGGCGTGGCTTCCGTGAGGCTGCGCGGCAGGGGATAGCTACTAGCAAGCGTGCGGACGCGGGCCCCGAACGTGGGGCATCTCCACACGCCGGCGCCTTACTAAGGCGCACGCTGATGGGTCGACACGCCTCGTGGGGGCTGTCCGATCACGGGCGGAGGACCCCGTGCGCCGGCGAGGGCGTTGGCGCGACGTGGGTCGACGGGGAGCGAAGGGAGGCAAAAGGGAGGGCGCATTACGTGGTGCGTCGAAGGAGTCGCGAACCGTGGACGGGGCTGCTGCGGGGCGGCAGCGAGCGCGGGCTGCGAACGAAGGCCGAAAGGGGGCGATGTGCAGTCGCCGCTTCTCTGGCTGACTCCGGAGGGGAATCGCCCGTCATTCTGCGCGTGGTGAGGCGTTCCTTTCAACAAGACCCAACGGGACAAAACCAGACGAAAACTTGTGAGCGCGAGGGGATGGGCGAGACCAGGGGCTTTCCCGCCCGGTCGCTTTCCGCGCCCGACAAAATCGTTCAGTGAGGGGGAGATGACAGAGCGGCCCGCCCAACATTTACAATCAAATTAAACAAAAAAAACAAGAAGCAAGATAAATCAATGGATGTTGATGTGCGTGCCCCTGAAAAAGGGGATCGCTATAGGGTGCGAACGGCGGTGGCGGATCACAGTGGTGCATTGGCCCTGGACTGAACTTCTTCTGTTCAATCATTTTCTGGGAAGAAAACAGGGATGATATCAACAGACGAAACCTGCCACACAAGTTACCCATTTCCTCCAACAACTGCTTAAAAATAGTGTTTGATTGGGACAGATCGCAGCAACAGAATGCGTCCTCCCCAGCGCACAGCAATGTGCCGTACATACACATTGGTGATTGCTTTGGACGTTCTTGAAGGAATGGCCGTTGATGCGATTCAAGCGGCCCCCTTTTGCGCGCACACGGGAAGCGCGAAGCCACGATCGCCGATGCTTCAACGGGTTGGCACACGGCCAGACGCAAGGCCACACCACGCACAAAACGCCCAGGGCTTACATATTTGTTCACCTTTCCCACAATGAAGTGCCTTGCCGACGGTGGCAACGACCCCTGCAACTGAACAATTCGAATCTCCTTGCACCCACAGAACTTTCCTTTTTATGTGACAAGGACCATCATCCATCACCAACCAGCCGAACCACGCTTAAGAGATGCCCACTTATCGCCACAATACAACCCACTCTATAACACATTGTTGTGGAGCTACTTGGGGGCAGGCAGTTAATGGCGTTTTCTGCAGTTATATTACTGTGAAAGTCACTCAGAAACCGAATTTAATATTCGTTTTTATTAAGTGACTTTATGTAATGACTTTAGGCACTCTAGATGCTAAAATAGGCTATTTTGGGCATTTTCAATGATTCACTAGGTTGATAGGGGAAAAGCTGAATTTAAAAGATTAGTCATGTTTGCAGTCATGCTTTAGTCATGTTTTAGTCATTTAGATATGATTAGTCATACTTAGTCATGTTTAGGTGACGAGCTGTGCGACTACATATGAGAATATTCATGGAATATTCCAAGAATATTCTTAAGGAATAGTCCCAATATATTCCAAGAATCTAAGGGTATATTCTTAGGGGTGCGCCAAGTATAAATGAGGAGGTTCTAAGTCCATTCAAACATCCAGAAAAGCCTCACCTTGGAGCCCTTGGCCTTGAGCACTCCAAGAGGAAGAACTCAAGGGTTAGAATGAAGGGCTCTCTCTTTTATAGCTAAGGGGGCGTTGGAATGGGAGCTAGGGGGAATCTATGAATGTGGATGTTTGATGGGCGTTTGCAAAGGTTTACATGAGGGAATAGAGGTTGTACACAACGTTTCGTATGGGTTTGTAATGGAAAAGATGTCTTTACATCATGTTTTGTATAGGTTTGTGGCAGTTTATATCCAATTGACAATAGCATTTGAGTGGGTTTACAAATAGAAGAATATTCTGGGTATATCCTTAGGATATTCTATTGGAAAGATAGGGCGTTTGGGGTATAAAAGCAAGCGTCAGTTGTCTATTTGGCAACCCGAGCCAAACCGAGCAGCCTTGAGAGCAAGCTTGGGGGGAATAGAACCAAGGCATTTTGTATAATGGACAAATTGTAAGACCTTTTTGGCATCAAATCGGGTTCATTTTCGGCGCCATGATGCCTCCGAGCGCACTTTGAAATGGGCCCACCACGCCGGGGGCTGGATAGTGGTTGTCCGAATCTCACACTGATACAATAAAATATAAGCCATACGGAATAAGCTTTTCCGCGCCATACATTATCCTATGATGCACATCGTGATGTCAGCTCTTTCTCGTCCTCACTTGCCACCTCTCTTGCACTCCTGTGCACTTGCGAATCAAACACTGCCCGATTTCACCTTGAATCAATGATAAGACATGGGAAAATGCTGCACATCCCCGAGAATGGGAACGGCACGAGGGGGATCAAAGGCCCAACGGCATGTGTTTCAGCAACGGTAACTCAGAACACATAGTCGTCTGCGAGAAACGAGCTAGGTCTGACAACTGAGCCCCTACACTTTCTCTTCACTTGTGAATAAGGCATTCCCCCGTGGCAACGCCTGGTGAATATCAAAATGAAGGGACGGACCAGTGGATCGGAGGGACCAGGGAGCTCCTCCTCGAGGAGGGGCAATGGGGAATCGCATTTGCAAATAGACTAGACAAGAAAACACACCGCGCGGAGCAACTGCCAACATCGGAAATACAACAGGATATTCCTTGCATTAGTTTCCCGTGGCCTGCCAAATGTTGTGAATTATGATTGACCGCAGGGGTGTCGCGTGCGCCACGAAGAGTTTGCGTGCCACGTAACAGGCACCCCAATGTGCTGTACCATGGTGTTCCGAATCATGTCTACTGTGAGCTTCTGTATTTGTGCTCCCATTGGAGGGCCTGTGAGGTCGGTGCATACAGCTGCACCCAGCAGAAAGATGTCCAAAGCCTGCCACCGCAGCTGAATTTAGGGCGCAGGCTGAGCCTTGTTTACTACTGCGTTCGCTTAGGAACTGATGCCAGTGTCGTCATGTCGTCATCCCCGGCGGTGGCCGCAGGGGCAAGCCGGGGGAGCTCCGCTTCTGTGCGGCTCAGAATTCGGCGGCAAGCAGCGAGAAAGGGCAGCCGCCAACCGCACTACATAACTCACTCGCCGCCATCGCGCCTCGTGGAGAAGCAAATCTCAGCATACTCATGGGGCGCGATGGGCCGGCGCCCAAGGACAAGGTGACCCGCAGAACACCAGTGCAGCGACTTGGGCTGCAGCGATAGAGGCAGGCGCGTCCAAATTCATGTCTGAATCAACGCCCCGCCCAGAACCGTGTTTTCAGCCATTCCGCTGGAGGTTGACGTCCGTTCGTGCGGGAGGCTGCCAACGCTTCGCTTGTTTCCCAGCTTTCCATTCCGCGCCAATGGCCATTCTCAGAATTCTTACAACTCCTTGCTCCTGCCGTATTCACTCCAGGGAGGTTTGGTGTACCTGTGCTTCTTCTTGTTTGGCGCTGGCCTTTTGGCACCCTGGAATGCCTTTATCACAGCCGTGGACTACTTCAATTACTTGTGGCCGGTGGGTATCTCACTGGCCACAAATGGCGTTGTGTCTGACTGCAACATCAATTGAAAAATTCCTTTTACGACACTATTCGATGCAGAAAATTGACATCTGGGTACCTCTTAGACATTGAAGTGTAACACAATTATTTGCACAAGCAGATAGTTCCAACCTTTCTGAAGAGCCCTTGTACACAAGCCATCATGGCATGCAATAGGACGCTTGCCACGAAGTTGTCAATATCAACCTCCTAACCTTGCTATTTCTCGTTGATTTCAGTTGCATTGGCTGATCTGCTCTGTGTGTGCTCACTGGGAGTGGCATGTGGATATCGATTCTATTTGTGAGGTGGTCCACACCAAATGACCCAGTCGCTGCTCCCTCCTATTCGCTCTCTCAAAGTCTCTTTATCGGAAGGTACTATTGCACCAGTGGTGCTATTCGACCATCTGAATAGCACCGCAGGTCAAAACCCCATCATTAACAGTTGGGAAGCAACAGCAGCCCGATGCTATTCGGCCATGAATGGTGATATTTGGGCCCCAAATAGTACCGTTGAAGGCCAAATAGCACCCCAGAATAGGACTTGGTGCTATTGCACAGTATTATTGTAGTGGTGCCCTAATGCTATTGGGCCAAAGGTTCTTTGCCCATAGCACCCAATGTTGCAGATGCATACTTGGGAGCAACAGCACCGGTGGTGTTCAGCAAATGCAGCCTTAGTAAGGTGGCACAGCAGCCAATGACAATTGTTCATTTAGAACACTGCCAGTGCACTAGCACCACCGATAAAGATGTCTTTATGAGTGTATTCAGATTGACCAGATTCTATACAGGCCCTACACTGACT